TTTTTTTTCTCTCTTTCTCTCTTTCTCTTCGTAAATTATACAATTAATAAATTATTATTAATGAAACGATCGTTGCAATCATAATTTATTTGTAACATACGATTGAAAGGAACGATCTTGGAAACAACAGTTAAGTTAAGGAAGTAAATTTATAAAAAAAATTTCGAAAAATTTATGTTAAAAGTTCCATTCGATTGCAATTTATTTCAAGTGATATTGCACAATTGATAATAGTTATTTCGTTTGAAAAGATATTTGGTAACGATATATGATCTATGATTATCGATCTGATAAAAAAAAAAAAAAAAGAAAAAAGTAAGAGTAACATACGTATGTATGCGTTGTAATGGTCGTTAATATAAAATAAGAAAAACAAGAAATGTAATAGGAATGGTAAATTTGTATGAAGTAATAGGGGAAAAAAAAGAAAAAAAAAAAAAAAATGAAAAGGATCGAGCGATGAATGAGAAAAAGGAAAAGGTGTTTGGTCATACCGTTAATGTGTTACAGGTATCGGAATGTTCGAAGTCTGCGGGTCCGTCATTGTCTACGTCACCGGGTTCGGATTTTTTAACTTCGCCAGCCCATCGTTCAATACCCTTGACTTCTCGACATTTTTCAAGAGCATCCTCGAGAGCGTCTCAGAGCTCGCTACAGAGCCCGAGCAAAAGTACCGGCTCCTCACCCCCAAAGACCGGTAGTTCGAATTCCCTCAACAAGTTTCACATTTGTCTCGTCGATAAACTCAAGAGAAGTTTGAAGAAAGGCGACGACGACGAGGAAGATCAAAGGAATCTATCATGAAACAGCCCCGGGGTTTCGAGACGGACACGGGTGTCCGTTTCGAAACCGATCGAGATCCGTCGAACTTCGGCGCCCGTCGCGACATTCGAGCCGAATAGCGGAGTGGTGGCGCGATCGTGTCCGGATCAGCCTTCGGCGTGGTAAATCAGAAGACGGGGGAGAGAGAGGAAGGAAAAAAAAAACAGAAGAAAAAAAGAAAAGAAAAAACAAAAGTAAAAAATAAAACGAACAAGGAAAAGTAAAAAAGTAAACGATCGGGAAAAGGAAAATTAGGGGGAAAGAAATGTATATGTATGTGTGGTATGTTGGGATATATTATGTCAGCTGCCGGATGGAATGATAATGAAGAAACAAGAAGAAGATGAAAAAAAAAAAAAGAATCGAAAGAATTCGATGAAGGAACGATCTTGAAATATTAACAACACGATGACGATAACGATGATGATGATGATGATGATGATGATGATGATGATGATGATGATGATGATGATGATGATGATGATGATGACGATGACGATGATGATTCATTTTCTTGCATTCTATCATCAATGAAGATAGAAAATAGAGTACGATCTACTCTTTTTCTCTCTCTTTCTATCTCTATCTATCTATCTATCTATCTATCTATCTATCTATCTATCTATCTATCTATCTATCTATCTATCTCTCTTTTTCTCGTTCCCTCCCTTTCCTCCCTCAACAATTTTTCTTTCCTTCCAATTGAGATAAGCTACGTTCGAAGATTCATGAAGAAAAGAAGAAGAAGAAGCAGAAGAAGAAGAAAAAAAAAGAACAAAGAAAAGGAAAAAGATGGAAGATTCGTGGCTGTTTTTTGTTCCTTCTTTTCTCTCTCTTTTTTTTTTCTTTTTTTTTTCTTTTTTTTTTTTTTTTTTTCCCCCAACGAAATCGTATTTTATCTACGAAGAGAAGAAAACCAATAGGATTACCCGAATGTTATCATCGAAGAAAGAAGGCTTCTGATATCGATATATATATATATATGTATATGTGTATATATTGTGCTTGATAACGATGAGAGAATCTGTTTAGAATCGTCGCCGGTTGTCGCAGCTTTCTTCTTGAAGGTTTAACGAACGAAGAAGAGAAAATGCGGAAGCTGCCCGATGATGTTGCGTGCAGTTTTCGGTGCATCTACTTTGGTGCACCAGACACGACTAGGATCGAGGTCAGTGCCAATCCAGAACGACGTTTCGCCAATTTACCGATATAACATTTCTTTTTTTTTCTTTTTCTTTTTTTTTCTTTGTTTGTTTGTTTGTTCGTTTGTTTTTTTTTTCTTTCCTTTTGAATTTATTTTTTACACCCGCCACCCTCACTCACCACCCTTCTCTTCTTGACAGACTAAAAGTAAAGGATCCTTCTTTTCTATAGAAATCATTGGAAAAGAAAAAGAAAAAAATGTTCACATTTTTTTTCTGTTTTTTTTTTCTATTTTTTTCTGTTTTTTTTTTTTGGTTTTTTTTTTTTAAAGAATCGTTCTATCATTCAAATTCGTTCAATTAATTATTAAAGTTCCTTCTTATTGTACTTAAAACGTTAGAAAATCGATTTAAGAATCGTCAAATGTGAGCTACGAAAAAATCGAATTCGTTTTTTTTTTCACCTGTTTGTCTGAATTTCTCGACAAAAGTCTCGTAGAAAATTACGGTTATACTTCGAAAGGGGAAAAAGAAAGAAAAAAAAAAAAATAGCGAAGTCTAGTTGGAGCGGGAGAATGTCTCGAGGATATAATGATATATATGCTGCGTACCTTAATAATAAGTTCGGATTAGAGAGATATAGATGGAGTGTGCCGATTTTTAGAGCCTAATTACGAAAATGACATAAGCGTGCCTGCTGCGTATATGGAAATCACAGAATTAGATTTAAGTAAATGATCCATTTATTATCATGTCGTTTATCATCGATCACAATATTTTGTTCTTTTTTTTTTTTTTTTTTCTTTTTGTTTTTTTTTCTCTTTCCTTTTACGAAACCTTTGATCGTGTTTTTTAATATCTACTTAAAGTCGTTAATCTCTTTCTTATTTTTTTTCTTTTTTTATATATATATATATGTATATTTTTTTCTCTCTAAGGATGTTTTTTTTTTTTCGTTTCTAAGCAACGATCCAATAATGTTTGTTGCTTAAGAGAAGATTGAATAAAGTAAAAAAAAAAAGAAAATACAATTCTTTTGTCTAAAATTATTGTTACATTTTATTATTATCATTATCATCATTATTATTATTATTATTATTACACATAGGATGGGGATTTCAAAAGTTCCTAAGTGATTCGAAAAAAAAAAAGAAAAAAAGTCAATCGTTATCTTTCTCGATAAATCACTTGTATCAGGTTAATTTTCTTTTTTGCAGACTATAAAATTACAAAGCTAGGAAATTTTTACTCGCTTAAGAACTTTTTACTGTTCCCATGTGTATATTATCACGGTTCTCTTGTTTTTTTTTTATAATTATTATATCTTTGAAAATAAATGGATCATTATTACCAACGAAACGACGCGTTGCTTTGGTACAGAGCATAATCGCTTTAACAGAAGAGAAAAAGAAAAAAAAAGAAAAAAGAAAAAAAAAAGAAAAAGAAAAATGTGGCTTTTATTAACGGAGAGATATTTTTCATATATGCGTACACATCCAGAGTGTTAATAGAAAAAGGGAAAAGGGAAAAAAAAAAGAAAGTTTTTTCTTCGACGTATCCCCACCTTTCTCCCCCATTCCCCGTCATCGTTTTGCTCTAACGAGAGTGGACCACCCTCGAATTCGTTGCTTTCGATTTTCTTTCAAGGGAAAAAAAATAAAATGATATAAATAATTGAGACGAATAGCAGCATCGACCACCAAAGTTTTGAAAGACTCGTAAATAGAAAGTAAAAGTGAATGTGTCGCGTTTTGTAGATTATTCGCTTTCTTTTTTTGTTTCTCTCTCTTGTTTTTATAAAAAAAAAAAATATATATATATATATGTATATATATATGTATATATATAATATAGGGTAGACCAAAAGTTTTCTTAGATGATATTAAAATTCGATTATTCTTTTTCGAAGATATTTTAGGCTAATTTTTTTTTTATTTTCAAGTTGCGAAATTACAAATCCTAATTACAAAAACCTATGAAAGTTTCGAAAAGAGGTAATTGATTTTTGATAAAATTATTTAAGATACTTTGGCTCTCAATCCTGTATATATATATATATATATATACACATATACATACATATATATATATATATATCGATCGGCGAAAATATATAGAAATATTTTATCATTTAACAATTGTTACTTATATTATAATTACGCTAATATTTTCATTTTTTAAGATAAAGAAAAAATTTTGAAAAATTTCGGATGCAGAACGACGTTTTTCGACGACCTCGGAGGAATGTTTCTTTTTATTAAAAAAAAAAGAAAAAAAAAAAGAAAAAAAAAAGAAAGAAAGAAAGAAAGAAAAAAAAAGAAAAAGAAAAACAAAAAAAAACGAAACAAAAAAGAACAAAAGAATTATGCAAATCATTCGAAAGATCGGTATAAAAAGAAACAGAAGAATAATATGCGTAATTGAAAATTAAATTCGAAAATCAAATCACTGATTTTTATTTTATTTTATTTTATTTTATTTTATTTTATTTATTTTTTTTTCTCCCTTATTTCATTGTCAATCTTTTATTCTCTTTTTTTATTTTCTTATTCTCTAAATTTCTTCTCTTAAAAAAAAAAAAAAAAAAAAAAAAAACATAAGTTATCGCACATAAGTGACTATCGATCGTATTCCAATTGTTGAATTTATTACTTTTACGATTGATTGACATTGTCAATCCGTTTTATTATATCGTTGCTTGTGTGATTATTACTTTTATTTTCCTTTTTTTCCAGTATTAAGATCATTCGATAAGAAACGCACGTTACGTCGTTGAACGTGAAACGAGATGGACTGTCCGTCGAGGGAACGGTCGACGTCTTCTGCGTCCATATCCGCTTTTCTTCGAGAGAGTGACTAAATAATTGTTTGAAAAAAAAATCTCTCTCTCTCTCTTTATATATATATATATATATATATATACATATATACATATACACACATATATATAAATGAATAAATGAATAAATAAATAAGTAAATATTAATATATATATATGTATGTATATATGTAATATGTATATATGTATATATGTATAAATAAATAAATAAATAATCATGTTTTCTTTTTTTTTTATATATCTTTTGCGGGTATTAACTTAAATTAAATTAAAAAAAAAAAAAAAGAAAAAAAAAGAGAGATATTGGGAGCGATCAAATATAATGATATACCGCGTGTAACTCTGTGATACCGTAAGCTATAAGGCATAGAATTATTTTGCAACGATAAACGGAGATAAGAAGAGAGAGAAGTTATGGAATAATCGAGAAAATAAATTTTCAAAGGCAAAATCCAATCGATCAAAAAAAAAAAAAAAAAAAAAAAAAGAAAAGAAAAAAAAGAAGTGTTACGATATATTCGATGCTTTTGATTCGATTCAGAAAAAAAGAAAAACAAGTAAGAAAAGAAAAAAAAAAAGAAAAGAAAAGAAAAAAAAAAGAAACAAAAATCAAATTATTCAAATCGATCAAATGGTTTCAATATATTTTCTCCGAACACTCCGTGGTTCCCTTTTGATATTAAATGTCGAGAAAGTAAATTTTGAAAGAAAAATCGATCAAAGAGCTTCGATATCCTTTGATATCAAAAGGATCATCGCTCAAATAAAGCGATACAGTCTCTGTTACTATTATTACATTATTTATTTATTTATTTAATTATTTCCAATCACATGTTCAAAATCGATCTAAATAGAGAGTTTCGATATTTTCGATCCTTTGATTCGACAAAACTCAAATGATTCAAATCGATCAAAGCGTTTTCGATATTTTCGATCCTTTGATTCGATAAAGAAAATAACAAAAAAAAAAAAGGAAGGAAAAAAGTTTAAAGATCGATATTAGATCAAAGAGCTTTGATATTTTCGAATCTTTTGATATCAAAAGGATTAAATAAAACGAGACAGTCTTTGTTGCTATTATCTATTATTATCATCTATACACTTAACTTACTTTTTCTTCTTTTTCTTCTTCTTCTTCTTCTTTTTTTTTTCTTTCTTTATTTTCTATTTACAAATTTTCATATTGTAATAAATATGTTAATCGATTTGTTTGATATATGTATCTTTAAATAGAACGTTAAATCTTCGAAATTTTATTCATAGTTACGTAATGGATACATAATGTTTTGCACCTTTTCCTTTTCTCCCAGGAAAAAATGTATCGAGATATTTGCAAAAATAATAATAATAATAATAATAATAATAATAATAATAATAATAATAAAAAGATAATAAAATAAAAAAAGAAAAAAGATCGTTGGTCCGAACTCTCTGTACCTTAAAAGTATTTTAAATCATTTTCATATATGAATTAAGAAAAAAGGACGAAAAAAAAGGGGAAACAAAAATAATCAAAAAATAAAATAAAAAAGGAAAACATCATTGATCGAGAACTACGAGAAAATAATCGTTTTTCATATCTATCTGTCTCCTTTCTCTTTCTCTCTCTTTCTCTCTGTCTCTCTCTCTCTCTTTCTCTCTCTCTCTCTCTCGGCCGAAATAAATAAATGAATAAATAAATAAATAAAAAAAAAAAATTAAAACTAAAGGTCGTAATAGAGAGTTATAGCGTCGCCATATATATATATATATATATATATATATATATATATGTATATGTGTATGTGCGTATGATAATCGAGATGTATATGTAATTGTGCGGAAAATTTTGAAAATTTGGATCCAAGTCGTCGTCGTCCTGCATATGGTTGATTGTCTCAGAATGGGAATAATGAAAGATGATAATTCAAAAGTATCACGTAAAGATCGGATATTAAGAAAAGGAGGAGGAGGAGGAGGAGGAGTAGGAAGAGGAGGAAGAAAAAGGAGGAAGAGGAGGAGAAGGAGGAGGAGGAGGAGAAAGATGATTTAACGAATTAAAACGAAAGTATGTAGAGAAGGAGGAAGAGGGAAAAAAGATGAAGTCGTTTTAGAGTCGCATAAAACGAATAATTTCCAAAAGTTGCCGCTTTATGTAAGACTGCTTTAGGGATAAAGAAAAATAAAAAAATTAGAAAAAGAGAAAAACAAAAAAAAAAAGAAGAAAAAAACAAGATGATTACGAGATGAATGAAGAAAAAAAAAAAAAAAAAAAAAAAAATTAAAAAGCAAAAAAAAAGCTAAAAAAAATGCAAAAAAATAATAAAAAAAAAAGAAAAAAAAACAAAAAAAAGAATACACAACAAAACTATAGTCGTATGTAATAGAGTATCGAAATGATGTGCAGCTGTTGGACGATGATTTATCGAGACGTGAACATTTGTTTTATCTTTTTTTCTCTCTCTTTCTCTATCTCTATCTCTATCTCTCTCTCTCTCTCTCTCTCTCTCTCTTTTTTTGCCTGTCTGTCTATCTGTCTATATATATATCTCTTTTTTTTCTATTTTTCTGTCTCTTTCTATTTTAAATTAAATAATATTAAGAAAAATCGTCTCGATGACTTTGTCGAATAATTTGTACTGATTAGAAAGAGAGATGAAAAATAATTAGCGTTTAATATTAACGTGATTAGATGAACGACGAGATATGTATAATAAT